CTCCCGCGCCCCCCCCCCCCCTTCCTCCCCTTTTATTTCCCCGGGGGGTCGGCTGCCGTGGTCCCGTAACCCGTAACCCGTGTCGGGGGCGGCGGCGGCGGCGACGAGGGCAGCGGTATCTCGGTCGACCTCATTGATTGGTTTAATTTGGTTTTTATTTTATTTTATGGCTTTGCAGTTTTGTGAGAGGTGAGCTGTAAGATGATGAACCAGGCCAGTGGCGGCGGTGGTTGCATAGGTACGCTGAGTATTTACTGCCGGCCACACCATGAACACCTTACACGAAAGATGAATACGAAGCCGCCGAAGCGGCCGCTGAGTAATCTTTTTTTTCTTCTTTTTTTTTCCGTGTGTGTATTTATGATCTTTGCGGTAAGTAGGTTGGTAAATGGTTGGCTTGGGCGGGGGCGGGGGTTTCATAAACTCTTGACTGAGACGGACGGTAAGGTGACTGTCAGCACATTTCCCTGGCGCAATCGTTGACTTGCTGGTTCCTGGTGATGATGCAACCTCCGAAGGAGCGGAATTCCGGTCCTGTTTCTCGAAAAGCAAGGGGCAACAAGAGCGACATCGCCAGAGAGGCAAGGTAAGGTAAAGGTTACCTATCGAAGACTGATGATGATGAGGAGGGGCTTCATTTCCATTTTCTTTTCAGGGAGTCAAGGGGGTCGCCTTCCAGAAGCCTTTTCATCATGATGTTTGAACACGCGACACTCTCAGGGATTGAAGCGAGAAAGCAAGACCCGAGAGAACGGGATAGGTTCCGGTTTGTGCGGCAAACGGAGGAAAGAAAAGAAAGGAGATCAAGTCTCATTTTACATACGATCTCTCGCGTGGTCGACAGGGTACCTAGCTCAACGGTCGGTTTAAACGACATTTGTCGACATTTGGGAAATTGGGTGACCGGCAGTCGATTCTCGCGATCACCTCGACCCGACAAAAGAGCGACAACCGCAGATTCGGCTTGGGACGATGGCAATCTTGACATATGAAAAGAACACATGAGAATCTTGAGGGAAGAGACGAGATCTACGCTTTCGTTGACTAGGCGGGAGGAGAGACCAAGAATAGCAACACCAGATCACCCCCTTCCCTCCCCAAGCCGGGCTTCGTTGGGTACCTTGATCGGGGAAATCATCACGGGGCTCCCGGACCGAAACCCCCTTCACCGGAGCGCCGAGAACGACGGACTAAAACAAGCCCCCGTGGTGTGCCGGGTCGGTAATATGATCCCACGTTTCCCTCTCCCGTGTCCGTGTCACTGGGATTCCATTGTTGCGCGTTGGGGTGGGTACTTACCTATCGCCGAGGAGTTGGACTAAATAAGATGGTACCTTGGTTCATATGGACAGCTAGCAGCTGAGGATAGCGTATCTGTGATCGATGAGGGCTGAACAAACAAGGACATTTCGGATAGGTAGTGCTTACGAGAAAGGCACAATAACGGAGAACATAGGTACCTTATTCTTTGACAGCTTTTACTTTCGAGCATTCGAAGAGTAGAATCCTATCTCTAGGACGTCTATCTAGGACTTTTTTTTTTGCCGTTCTGATGACTGACTGAACTCTCTCACACAGTGAGTGGCTGAAATAATACTACGTCCAAAACTCGGATTCGCCACGCTGTGACTAAGAATGTAGGACTTGGCTTCCAAACCGGCCTAGTCTAGAGCACCATGAGCTGATTTCAGCTCACTACTACTTCAGCTGAGCAGGTGGTGTTTTTTTTTTTTTGCCTGCCGGATGGAGCTTCGTCGGGTAGGGGATGAGGCGGGTGAGATCTGGTACCAGATGCAAGATGCTGTTTGCCCTGTGTGAGCTGAGAGCTGCTGGTGAGGCTTGGGAAGGTCTTCCCCCTGGCCCGGCCGGCTGGCGGTTAGATCGGTTGAGAGACTACTAGGTTTGTGCCTGCCAGAGATGAAAGGTTCAAAGTTGGAAGAAGAAGAAGAAGAAGAAGATGGGGGGGTATCGTCAGGCTTGAAAGGGGGTGTGTATCAGGAGATGATGGAGGGAGGATGTAACTCGTCGGGTCTTGGAACACTGTGTCACAGTCGAGAGATGTATCTCTTCCATCCTGAAGCCTGACAGGGAGGCAAAGGAGGTATAATGAGGCCTGACGAAAATTGCTATCCGAGAGGCAAACATATGCCGTGAAGTTGGGTGCCTAGTGACGGTGAAGGCTGGTGGGGAGGTCTCAGAGTTGGGTATAGACGCGGCGGTGAGGCTGTCTAGGTTGTATCAGGTGTGCTGGGCTACGTAAAAAGGCAATATATCTGTTGCAGATTAGGCCGAGGAGAAGGTGAAAAAGGCGAGAGATGAGGGGCCCGGAGCTGCCGCCGACACACGGGTCGGATGGTGTGTGGGAGGTGGGAGAGGAAGAAGAACCTGAGCTCGCGGAGTATCACGCCTGTTTGGGCAAAGGGATGCATAGCTCGAAGCCACATGTTGGGCAGAGAAAACCAGATCGTGGTATTGTTTGGTGTGAGAATGCCGGATAGTCAAAGGGTCATTGTTGGGCAGAGACAGGTGGCAGGTGACAGTCACCGTCTCGGACTTGTTGCTTGGCCAAACTGCCACTGGTTAACGACCATTGAAGATGGAGCGCTTGAATAAGGCACTGTCGAAGGTTTGACACACGATTTAAGGAAGCCACTGTTCACAGAGACTCCCCCCTACAATTCCCAGTGACCTGAATAACCGAGAAGCCCAGATGTTGGCCTGGGAGTCTGATAGACGTTGGAGATGAATCAGATAGCACACTGCTCAGGGGCTTTATGGCCTGGTCATAATGGCACTACTAGGTATCTAGCAAACCTACCTGTGCTGAAATGTATAAACTGATTAGTCCAGTCCTCTGGGGCGGATGATATCTAAGAATGAAAGCATTAATTGTGAAGAAATTTTCTCACTCTCATAGCATATACTTCCACCAACCAGAATCATAGGTGTCTATCGTGTGTTTCTCTCGCCATTATCGACATGATGACGACCTATACTTCATATCCTGAAGTTTGACAGCTATTAGCAATTCTGAAGAGACCCAAGCGGGCAATCAACAGCGCTCAGAGAGACAGATATAGGTTCGTCAGCTGTCCCAAGCACTTGTAGCATCTTTCAGTTTGTGGCGTAGCATGTTTCTTTTGGAGTGAATGACGGGAAAAGAAATCCTGAATGCTGTAGTAGTTCTTGCACTACGCGTACTCGTTCGCCATATTGCAACTTTATACAATCAATAACCAGATCTAGCAACGAGTGTTAGCGTAGTATTTCTGAAGTTCTGCCAGGTATTCGGTTCAGAACCTCTCCACGGTGATCCTACAGCCTCCATTATTAGCAGCTCCTACCAGCCCTGAATATAGTTTTTTTGTTCGATTCTTAGGCACCTAAGAAGGTGTGGACAACTGTGAAACCGAAGGAGTTATCTGATTTCGAGAAATCATTCTGACTCGAAAATTCCTTGAAGACGACGGTAGGCTGTCAGTCTCCGTTTCCAAACACTAGAAAGCAAACTAGGAGCTAGCCCCCGAGGACTTAGCCATATTAAGCAAGACATATCTCCATGCCAGTTATTGCATATTCTTGGTGATGGCCTCATCAAAAGTCAAGTGCAACCGCCCTATCGCGCCAATGGTAGTTAGCTTGATCGTCATAAATGTCAATAAGTGGTTGATAACATCGGCACTCTGGAGAATTCACTTGCTCAATCTATCTGTACCTGATGTGGAAGCTCAGGCACTTTGATAATAATTCGGAGGCGTGTCTGGGGCTCTAAAGATGATAAATGTTAGGCCTTTTCAAGCATAGATAGTCGAGGATGTATGCGTTGTGAGGTAGTCAGTCACAAGACGGCGCTTTTCTATACACCCACTGCCACCAAACAAACCTGCTCAAATCTTCCCGAACTGATTGCAAAGCATTCTCAGTAGGTAATTGACATTGGCAGCACTCGGTCAAGAAAGAAAACGGCACCATCATCACCAATTTAACCTTCTCATCTAACTTTTCCTCACAATTGCCCTGTATCTCAAGGTATGTAGGTTGGTAGTGAGCATAGCTAGTCCACAACCTCGCTTTATTCCCCCCCTTTGCCAGCTTATCGTTAACAATAGGTTAGACAAACAAGCAAGCAACTTGCGGATGTAAATAAGCAGCAAGCAGTGAGAGACTGAGAACCATCAGTTGGTCAAGTGGGGTTGGATCGACAAGCAATCTGGAAAGTGCCATCATTGTCCTCCTCCCCATCTAGCAACCACCCGCAGAAAAACCACCGCAAACAATGGCCTCAAGTCCAACCCCCACCACGCCCAGTCTCCTCACAGGAACCAACTCCTACCCCCCATCTCCCTCCTCAAAACCTCCCCTCAGCTGAAACCCAACCTTCCCCCATTCTCTCCATCCACAAAACCCCCTTCTGACCATCTCTTGTTTTCGTTTCCTATACACCTCCCTTCCCCCCCCCCACCCCCCCTTTATTGCTTCAGCTCGTTGAATGCTGAGAAGTAGGAGAAAGTCGTATGAGCGTTTGAGCGGCATTGCAGGTGATTCGGCTATAAAGGGAGCATTGGGGACGTCGCCGTGGATGCACGGGAAGTTTCGGGACACGGGGAGTGGTCGCACGGGCGCCCCTTCCCCAGCGACTCGACCCCTAGGATACCCCCATCCCCAATTTTGCCCCCTTAAATCGGCGATAGTTACTCGTCTGCAATCGGGTCAACAACCTTTCTTTGTCGAACTTCCACGATTCCCTCCGTCAGCTTTCTCAACCCCATACCTACCTCAGTAGATCCTCCCATCGGGGGACCGGCAAGTGGTGTCGGTAAAAGAGCACGTCGTCAGGGTCGTCCGTTTGCTCTCAAGTAATAAAGAATGTCTGATAAAAAAAATGAGCGTTTTGAACAAAGACGCCCAAATTAGTCTTTCGCCGCAAGAATCATGTCCTATCACATTGTATCCGCACCAACGCGGTACTCGTCAGCAAACTGTCTCAATCTCCTTCACTGCTAGTGCCCCCTGCGAATGCGACCTCCTTGCTGCTGTCCACCCGGAGTAGAACGCACACGGCGAGCGCCAAAAGTGCGGTTTGTTCCGGCCTGTCCAGAGAATCGGTCGTCCGCAGCAGAAGCAGGGTCGCCACCTTCCGAAGAAGCGCATGCAGCTTGAATGACACTCGCGGGGTTTCGAGCAGACTTGGAGAGGGGGTTTCTTCTTCCGGGGTGTTCATACCAGTCGACGTCGCTGAGTTGGAGCTTGCGGACGCGCTGTCCACCGCGCTCCTTGGCGGCTCTGTTGTCGATGCGGTTGTGGTGGTGATACGAATTGGTTTTCTCGTTGCCTGCACGGTTGTGAATATTGCTGTATAGTTGAAGGGGGTCCCGGAGGGTGGTAGTACCGTCGTTTTCCTCATTCTCGCGGAGATCGTAGTTGAGGACAAGGTTCTTGATGCGCTGCTGTTCCTCCTTGGCTGCCTGGCGTTGGTTGATCAGAGCCACGGCAAAGTTGGAATCAGAAGGCAGTTCAACAGTCCGTGTCTTTTGGTCAAGTTAGTGATGTGTTACTCGGAGAAAGGTCCGGAGAAAAGCTTACCTGTTGACGGTTTCCTTTCTTCGTGAGCAAAGAGAAGGCCATAGTGCCGCCTGGGTTGGTCGTGGCCGCCTCGGCGGGCTCGCCTCCTGTAGCCTCACGGGCTTTCGGGCGGACGGGGAGGGGAATATCGAACTGAGGTTTGCGCTCGAACTTGCGCGCATCCCCGAAGCTCTCAGCCATCATCTTGGCATACTCCCGCTCAAACTCTTCTTCGTATTCAGGGTCGACTTCCTCCTCTTCTCTGGTGACCACAATCTCCTCCTCTTCTCCATATTCGCTGTTGGCATAGGAGCCGTGATGCTCAGATTCCTCGACCTCGCCTTCATCGGAAGCCGCGTCCTCGTCGTCATCATCGTCTTGCTCTCCGGCCTGAAGATCATTGCCATCCTCATCGTCGCTCGACATAGCACTAGTTCTGTCGTCCTGCTCGGCAATCTTGTCCATGCCTGAGGTTTTGTGATCTTGAATGACGGCCAGCCGGAAGACTTCCGAGGCTTCCTCCAAGTTCGAAGCAAGCTTCCACTGAGGGCGAGTGAGCGAGAAGATGTCATGTACCAAAAACTCAATGTCCATCGGCAGGGGGTCCTTGGTGTAGATGTAGTACTGGAAGAAGGAGAGGAAATAATCCAGCTTCTTGCCAGCTGCACCTTTGTTGAAGAACACACCGCAGGTCTCCAGGATTGTCGCAATCAGGCGGATCCGGAAGAAGTCGTCTGGCATGTCAAAGGATACGAGACGGCCGGGGATGGGCGGTCCTCCATGCCCAAAGGTCATGATCTTGTACATGATCTCAAAGATTACAGGATGGTCGAGCATCCTGTAGTTGTACATCTCTGCCAGGTATTTGACTTCGGCAATTCTGCGCTGGTTGAATTCAAAGTTGTTCTGCTCAAGCCCAAACACAACAGATTCGATGACGGTGTCAATAACGCTGATCACGAACTCGTTGTGATAGCGGTGAATGGCGCTCAGAATGACGACGAGAAGATGGATGTTGCTGTACTTGACCTTTCCGGGCTTGGAAAGAACCTTGTGAAGGATTGTCACAACCTCCTTTTCTTCCCAATGAAGCCTGCGGATCTGCCGGACAACCTTGCTGTAGTTGCGCTTGGTCAGATCCGTGTAGACCAGCTTCCGGACAAAGAGCTCGATGGGGGTTCTCTCCTTCTGCTGGATGGCCGGCCGTTGAGGAGGATCGACATAGTACACGGCGTTCTCGACAAGCATGCGCTCGGCTTGTCCAATATGCTGAACAGATTTCTTGCGCTGGAGAGTCTCCAGGAAGGAGGCCATGCGAGGCGACGTCTCTGGGTTGCGGAGCAGGTATCGGCCGCAGTTCTCCAAGAGGTTGCAGATGATCTCGATGTTCATTCGAGAGAAATCGTCCAGACTGACCTTGAGGCAATGGAAAACGACGTGTTCAGGGACAATCCCAAACTTGGTCAGTTCGGCAAGATAGCGGATATTGCCAAGTCTGACCTGGCCCAAGAACTCCTTCTCTTTGCGGCGTTGGAGGCTGCGGAACTCGGCATCAAGATAGTCCACAAGACCTTTGGGAATGTCTGGCATGTATTGGCCAAGGGTAGCGACAAGCCTAGACCAGCTGGGAAGGAGATCGCCCCGCCCTTTGGGCACATCTGTGAGGGCCTTGATAAGCCTGTTCCGAGAAGCCTTGGAGTTGAGAAAGCAAAAGTCGATGGCGGTTTGGTCAATGGCATCCTTGCTGGTGAGATCCGGAAGCCGAGCAAGAAGAGCATCAACCTGAGCACCAATGGTCTTGTTCGCAATGGCCATGGACTGCTCATCAACTGCAGCCTCCGCCTGCTTCGCCTCAACCTCGGCCGGATCGATCTTCTTACCGACTTGCTCGTCCTCGGCCTTCTTTTTCTTGACCTCTTCGAGAAGCATGCCGGGAACCTTGCCCTTGAGATCAACCAGGTTTTCGTAAAAGCGACGTTCCTCCTCGTCCTCCCAGATACCGGAGCCATCGCCTTGTCCACGGAGGTACTCTCCCGCCTTTACTATGCCGATCGAGCCGTTCGCGTTTGCGTTGGCGTCATCGCTATCCTTCAACTCGGGCATCTCAGCCCCAATGATTTCGGCGATCACATGGGCGTTGGCCACAAGGCGCTCCTGGGCCTTCACCTGCTTCTCAAAGTTCGCCTGACGGTCCTCAAAGACTTCACCCGATTTCACGTAGGCCTCGGCGTTCTTGCGAGACTGGCTGAAAATGGCCTTTTGATCCCGAACAAGATGGCCCTTGACATCCTCAAAATATCGCCTGAGGACGTTTCTAAAGCGCTCTTGGAGCTCGGGAGAAGTGAAGGGAGCATCTTCCTCCGTCGTGCCATCCTGCTCTTCGTTTGTCTCGTCCTCTTTGGTGGTGCCATCTTCCCCGACTGTTTTTCGACTATCAGACTTGACTCCCAAAACATCCCAGCTAAAAGCCTTGACGAAAATCACCAGCAGAGGCAAATTTGCATGTTCACGGTCGTGGCCCAGGAGATCCTTCAGAACTTCTAGAGGGAACGGTTCGGCAGCACCTCCCTTGGCAGCTGCTCGGGACTTGACCTCAGTGGTCTTGCCCGTGGTTCCGTTTGCAGCGTCGTCAGGCCGCTTGATGTCGTCGAGGGTTTTGAGAATGCCTACAAGCCAAAGCTCGGTCACGACGCGCAGGAGGACACGCTGACGGGTCAGACGGTCGCGTTCCTCCTTTTCTTTGGCTTCGGCCGAGAGGGTTTTGAGGAAGCTCTTGTCCGGTGTAGCCATAGCCTTGCCGAGATACCAGCCCAGATACATGGTGAACTCGTCGGGACCGAAGCGCTGATGGAGGGCGCTGACAATTTCGACGCCGGCTTCGATCTCGCCGGGGGATTTGAGTTTGCAAAGGCCTTCGTGGCAGGCGGAGACGATTTCGGAGAGATACTTGGAGAGGCTGACAGTCTTGATCTCCTGGAGAAAGGTGTTCATGGTCGCGGGGCTAATTGCGGTACGGAGACGTTTGATGAAGGCGGTATTCTTCTTCATGGTCGAGTCCAGGGACTTGCCCACGGGAAAGAGATCTGTCACGAGAGTCAGCATCAACAGAGGGGAGCGAGGCTTGTTGTCGAAGCTGCTTACCCTTCTCTCCATTCCAGGCCCTCTGGTTGAGCTCGCGCAGCTCGCCTGAGAGTCGACTGTTAGCTATGACTACTGTAGAGACGATTATAAGACATACGTCTGCGCGCGCGATCCATGATGGGCGAATGTTGTTGTTGTGTACAAGTAAGAGATTTACGTGGGCGCAATCATTCGTTTTCGTCGACTATGGATCGAGATGCTAAGGGTTCAGAAATCGGAAGCGACAATCCCCGTCAGCTAAGGAAGGCATCGGTGACGCTCGGTGGGAAGGGCCTCTAGGGGCAAGATGGGGATTTGCTCCAGGTCTCTGGCTACTACTAGGGTGGGCGCCCAGAGAGGGTGTTTCGTTTTTGCCTTTGCTGAGTGGTGTTGTTTCTGTCTCGAAGTCCAAGGCAAGGAAGCAAGTGTCCGGTGACGGAATACGATATCAATAAAGTCAGTCAGTCAGGCCTGGCTGAATTCCTCAAAAGGCTGTAGTTCCACTCCCCCACCAGGATTGGCGCGGCACACGACTCTTGGCATTGGGGATCCCCGCTATGTAGTTGGCTTTTCAGCAGCCAGACCAACCTAGTTAACGACATATGATCTTCTCTGAGTTGATTGGGATCCTTATACATCGGTGAGATGGCTAATGTCAGTTGTTCCACTCGAGAGTCTGTGACAAGGAGAAGCGGCCTGTCTGTTGCTACCCGTCTTGGTCACGAGTCACTGGGAAAGGGTTAGGGTTTGAGGCCAGCAATCTCGTGTCATGAAATTATCAGATCAAAGTTACGCCAGCCTTAGTCCCTCCAGTATCTGCAGATACGATACCTGATAGGCCACTGCTAGCGATATATATGCAGGAACATTCGTTCTGTCCCTGATAATGTCTTTCTCTGAATAATCCCCAGTCACAGGTTCTGGCCGCCCGTGGCCCCCGAACATCCGAACAATCAACAGGTCGGCCCGCATGCTTGGCACGGGGGTCACGGTCCGCTGTGCTCCCCAGCCAGACGTCATGTCTCGGCACCCACTTGACCCCTGTCACGTTTCTCACAGCTCTGTCCATATCAAAAGCCTCAAATAGAGACAAAACTCCCGAAAAAAGCGAGTCCGATCTGAGCATTGGACGATCCGAGTTTACAGTAGAAAACAGAAACAGGCACGGGAACCGGCCCCTGCTTTAAATGGATCTGGGCCAGAGCTACCACCAGTCTGAAGTTTGCATCTCCGTCCCATTCCCAAGTGGGCCTCCTTATCAGACGCTCTGATTTGTCCAACGGCGGGCTGCTTGTCAAAGCTTGATAAGAACCTCCCACCCCCGTCTTTGAACTTGTACTCGAGTACAGTATATCCGCGGAAAACACGGGTGCCGATCTAGAAAGGGATGCTCCAAAACGATCAATAAACGGCGCTCGCCTTATCTCTGAGCACTTGCGATGAACACCCGCGGCCACTCGGAGAAGCAGGCGTCAAGCAGATGGCGTAGGTGGCATGGTATGTAGCATACCTACCTTAGGTATATATGAAGCAATCGAACCATTCCCTACATGTTGGTCCCTCTAGTTCCCTTTGCCATTCTTCAGCATTGTATGTAGTATTATCGTGTTTGTTAGCGTCAGCTGCCCAACATGGAAGTGACTTCAGCCCTTGCTGCCTCTCAGGCGTTCACCAGGTCCCCTCTCAGCTTCCAACAACAAAAGCCCACTGAAGATGGCATCCCACGAAGCTTCTATGACCTCGAGAAGCCATTGATTACCAACCTCGACGATATCGACTCCCAATCCAGCACATCACAGTCTTCCTCAGAGCAGGACCAAGATCAACAATCCTCATCATCACAGTCATCACCACCGACGGAAGACCAGCCGCCTCTTTCGGACTTTGAGAAAGCCCTTCTTCACCCACAGCCAACTTCGGCACCATATCCATTGCCGCCAGCTCCCACTCCGATCTCAGTGCTGCCTCTTGATCTTAAGACACCAGACAGCTTTGTCCCAAGAGACCCTGCCCTTATCAGGCTGACAGGCGTCCACCCCTTCAACGTCGAGGCCCCTCTCACGCCTTTATACGACCAGGGGTTCCTCACTACCCTCAATCTTCACTATGTTCGCAACCACGGACCGGTTCCTCAGGTTCACGATGCCGACGCTCTATCATGGTCTTTCACCATCGAAGGCCTCTGCTCTTCACCAATCACCCTCACTTTGGCAGATCTCATCTCCTCCCGTTTCGAAGATGAAGTCGTCTCCTACCCAGTAACACTAGTCTGCGCTGGTAACCGCCGCAAAGAACAGAACCAGGTCCGCAAATCCAAAGGCTTCTCGTGGGGCGCCGCCGGCCTTTCAACATCTCTCTGGACCGGTCTACCACTCGGCCACCTCCTTTCCCTTGCCGGCGTCAACACTCGCAAGGGGAAATTTGTGCACTTTGAGGGCGCTGATGCCCTCCCCAACGGCTACTACGGGACGTCGGTGAAGCTGAGCCATGCCATGGACCCAGAAAGAGGCATGATGATCTCCTGGCTGATGAACGGTCTCCCTCTTCACCCCGACCACGGCAAGCCCCTTCGAGTGATCATCCCGGGTATGATTGGCGGGAGAAGCGTGAAATGGCTCAGGAAGATAATTATCAGCGACAAACCCTCGGAGAACTGGTATCACATCTACGACAACCGCGTCCTGCCCACCACAATCAGCCCCGAAGAAAGCGGTAACGGGACAGAAGAGATGGTCCAAATCTGGAAAGACGAGCGGTACGCCATCTACGACCTAAACACCAACTCGGCCGTCGTGTACCCCCAACACGAAGAAACCGTCCAAATCCAAGACGGAGCCACCTACGAGCTCAAAGGCTACGCCTACGCCGGCGGCGGCAAAAGAGTCACCCGCATGGAGATTTCCCTGGATCAAGGCAAGACCTGGCTTTTGGGCAACATCTCCTACCCCGAAGACCTCTACCGCACCGAGACAGAAAGCCGCATCTACGGCGGCCGTCTCGACCTCTCCCAAAACGGGCGTGACGCCTCCTTCTGCTGGTGTTTCTGGTCTCTCGCTCTCCCTGTCGGCACCCTCGCCGGGGCGTCTGACATTGTCGTCCGCGCCATGGACGAGGCAATGATGGTCCAGCCTAGGGACATGTACTGGTCGGTCCTGGGGATGATGAACAACCCCTGGTTCCGCGTCGTCATCCACCACGACACGACCTCCAACACCCTCCGGTTTGAACACCCAACCCAACCCGCCCTCCAACCCGGAGGCTGGATGGAACGGGTGAAAAGGTCAGGCGGCGACCTCACAAACGGCTTTTGGGGCGAGCGTCAAGCGGGCGGCGAAACCCTCACCAACCCTATAACCTCCCCACCAGAGAAGGAAATCTCCCTGACAAACCCCGCCATCTCCCGCGAGGTTTCTCTAGAAGAGCTTCGCTCTCACGACAGCGAAGCCTCCCCTTGGTTTGTTCTGAACGGGGAAGTCTACGATGGCACCGCCTTTCTCGAAGGCCACCCCGGCGGCGCCGCCTCCATAATCAACGCCGCAGCTCAGGATATATCAGATGAATTCCTCGCCATCCGTAAGCCCCCCTTCCCTTCCCTCTCATCCCCCCTCACTAACCCTCTCTAGACAGCGAAAACGCCAAAGCAATGATGCCCCGATACCACATCGGCACCCTTCCCCCCTCCTCCCTCCCCCTCGTCTCCCTCCCGACCCCATCCTCCCCCCCCGCCACCCCCCGCCCCTCGTTCCTCCACCCCAAACAATGGCTCCCCGCCACTTTAATCTCCAAAACAAAAGTATCCCCCAACACTAAAATCTTCACCTTCACCCTCCAACACGCAACCCAAACCCTCGGCCTCCCCGTTGGCCAACACCTCCTCGTCCGCCTTTCCTCCCCAGAAACAATAATAAGAGCCTACACCCCCATCTCCCCCGGCTCCCTCCCCACCGGAACCCTCTCCCTCCTCATAAAAATCTACCCCCCCTCCCCCGATTCCCCCTCTAGCGGAGGGAAAATGACGCTCGCCCTCGACGCCCTCCCCCTCCGCTCCCCGGTGGAATTCAAAGGCCCGGTCGGCAAGTTTCTCTACTTATCCCCCGGGCTATGTTCCGTAAACTCCAAGCAGCGAAACGTCACCAAGCTGGTCATGATCTGCGCCGGGAGCGGCATCACCCCCATCTTCCAGGTCCTCCGCGCAATCCTCTCCTCCCCCCCCTCCCTCGACCCAACAAAATGTCTTGTCCTCGACGGCAACAGGGTAGAAGAAGATATCTTGTGCAGAGACGAACTCGACGCCATGGCAAGGGGCAATAAGGAGAGGATGGAATTGGTATACAGCCTCAGCCGCCCCCAGGCCTCCTGGCAAGGCAGAAAAGGGAGGATGGACCGCCCGTTCTTCGAATCCGCCGTCGGAAAGCCAGATCCAGAAGGGAAAACGCTGGTGTTGGTTTGCGGGCCTGAGGGGTTGGAAAGGGCGATAAGAGAAACATTCACCGGAAGGGGCGGGTTGGGCTGGGACGAGGGGGATGTCGTCTTCTTTTGAGAAACACACATCTATGTATCTTGTGAAATTAGCACGAGTTTCAGTGTACAAAAGCTTGACTTAATCAACATACCTTATTTTCACCCCTCTTCCCCCTTCTTTCAACAGATGGACTAGCAATTAAAACAAGATCCTGCCAGCCTCACATACGGTCCAAAAATGACACAAATAATTGATTTTCACATTACTCCAATGCGCCAAATGTGCAAAGACAGAAAACATAAACAGTATGAGCAGACCACAACCGAGGGTAACAATAAAGCCTCTTGATATAACCTTCTTTTGGTTTCCCCTTCCTCCCAATTTTCCCCGGCCAGACCTCTGACGAATTCCAACAACAACCACAAAAACCACCGCCGCTTAACGACTGCTGGTCTTGCCGATTGTGCGCTTGCCAGAAAACTAAAACACGCATTAGCATACCAATTCGACAGCGATAAGACAGAGAAAGAAAAAAACTCACCAGATGCTTGGGCATGGTAGCACCAATATGCCTATCAGCCTCACCCTGTCTCGCCATGCGGTTCATCTTGCGCTGAGCAAGCTTGGCCTGCCTCTCCACCTTTGTCCGCACAAGCTCGTCTGTGACACCATCCTCGCGACGGTTCGTCGCCATGACGGATCTGTCACGGGGTCTGCTCTGGCTGCGGAGTCTGTCTCTCGCCGAAGGAGCATTGTCAACATCCATGGCATCTGGGTCAACAGTGCCGGTTCTGGAGCGGGCACCAACTGATCTGCCACGGGTCTCACGAACGGCCGCGCGACCACGGAGGTCAATCTCCTGGGTATCAACACCCAATTGGTCAAGGTGGTCCTCGAGCTGAGAGAACGACTTCTTGAGCGACTTGCGAGGGATCATGGCGCGGTTCTTGAGAGACTTGCGCATCTTGGCCTCGTTGCGGATGAGCTTGTGCTTCTCACGGATCAACTCGGCCTTCTGGAGAACCTCCTCCTCAGACTCATCGCCAACATCCGAGTCGGACTTGTAGAAGCCCTCCTTCTCGAGACGCTCCTCCTCCTCCTCGAGCGCGGCAAGCTTGGCGTCGATATCTGGGTCGACATAGTCGTAGACGTTTTTGCCATCGTAAATCTCGGGGATCTTGTCGTACTTCCATTCTGGGTTGGCGAGGAGATAATCCCTCTTGAGATCGACGTTGAACACACCGGCACCACCATTCTCGAACTCCTCGTCACGAGCCAACCTTCTTCTTTCGGGGTCGTTCTTGTCGTACTTCTTCATGTTCTTGATAGCTTCTGGGACAAAAGTCTCGCGAGTAACACCACCCATAGGCTGGGCAACATGAATACGGGCCATAACCTCGGTGAGGCGAGAGCCCATGTTGCCGCTGCTGCCAGTGCCAGCCTTCAACTTTTGAGAGACACGCTCAGCGAGCAGACGCTCGCAAACGTGGTTCTTGACGTCCTGAACACCCTCCTGGGTGGCGCACGAAGCACGGAGAAGCTCGACATCGCCAGACTTGACGAGGTCGTTGAGCTCGGCCTGCATCTCTGGCTCCAACTCCTCAAATTTCTTCACATCCATCTTGTTCAAGACGACAAAGACCATCTTGTTGGCGAAAAGGGGCTTGATCGACTTGAAGAGGTTGATTTGCGCCTTCAGTGAGTAACCGCACTGCTCGCTGATGTCGATGAAGAAGCAAATGGCGGCTCTGAGATGGGCAAGGGCGGTAACGGACTGCATTTCGATGGTGTTCATTTCCTCGAGGGGGTGGTCGAGAATACCGGGGGTGTCGATTACTTGATAGCGGAGGTACTTGTAGTCAAGATGACCGACGAACAAGCTCTTGGTTGTGAAAGCATAGGGCTCAACGGGGGTATCGGCCCTGGTGACGGAGCTGACGAACGAACTCTTGCCGACGTTGGGGAAACCGGCAACGAGGAGAGTACGGGTGGTGGGGTTGATGTCGGGCAATCTGGCCAAATGCTGTCTGACCTGGTCGAGATAGGCGAGAGGGTCTTTTAGCCTCTTGATGAGAGTGGCCATACGACCGAGAGCGGCCCTCTTGAGCTGCTTGCACTGGTACAAACTCTGAGAGTACTTGAGGAGACGGACGTAGTCGCGAGAGATGGTCTCGATCAAGTGCTTGGCTGTCGAGACCTGGCCGAGGGCCACCTTGAAATGGTCGGCATCTGTTGAACCAAATCGTCAGCACCATTCCGAGCTTCACCTCCTCCAAATCCAGCAAAACGCACCATAGAGAATATTCATCAAGTCGCGGTGGAAGGGATGCTGATCCGTGAGGATGGGAAAGCTGGAAACAATGGCGCCGAACTTTTCGCTGCATGTTTCCTGTGTGAACCTGGGGTTGAAGGTTAGCGTTCCGTTCGAGATTGTCGTCGACTTCGAAGTGGTATGCGACGATGGAGAGGCATTGCGAGGTGTACTGACTTGACCTTGCGGGTATAGAAGGCGCGAATTCTGCTGACTGTAGGCGCATGGTGTTAGCAAACTGTTGATCCCATTGTCCTCATCGTTGTCCAGGTTCTACGTACTCTTGAAGCCAGCACGGACTTGATTGCGATTTTCGAGTCAGCAACAGTGTTCCTACAAGCAGTCCTATTCGATGTACGCACTCTGAGTGGGCAATCTCCTCTGTGTCCGCCTGTGGTACTGTTAGCATCACCCATCCCAGTCCTGAGGGTCGAAAATATCTTCAACTTACGAGAGGATGATATCAATAAACTCCTGCGCCCTGCATCCAGCAAAAAGAATCAGTCAGTTTTGTCCCAGCGTCGTCCTTGTTGAAATCGAATATCCTTACGTAGGCACGGGCGCAATATCCTTCCACGTCATGTCGGGCAACTGTTTTGTCTGTCGTTGTCCGGGGAAGTGATAAGGTGGTGGGTGAGGTTTGGGGGGGGGGGGGGGGTGTGGGCGTGGGTGAAGAAGGCGAAAAAGAGTATCGCAGCGTCCTAGCGGGGCGGTGTCGATTTGGCCGACCGCAGAACTCGCCTCGAAATATTTTTTCCAGCCCGCAGAAGATTTTTGATAAGATAAGAAAGCGGTGTGTGTGGGAATTCCAGGCGAGTGGGGCTGGTGCCAAGATGTCAGTGGGGTTCAAGCTGGTCAGCAAGGTACCGGGGCCACATTGAACACAACGACTGGACCCTTGAACGGGTTGCTCCTTGCCATCTCAAAAATATTGAAAGGATTGTTTCCTAAGGTATTGTCGACGACAGAAAGCTAAGGTATAGCTCCTGAGCTCCCAACTAGCTATAACTGAGCCCTGATATTTCCAAACATCATACAGTAGAATAATTGGCACCATACCAATGCGCACTTATACCCCCTTCCAGCCCCGCCTGTCGGCACGAAAAGCAGCCAATTACCCCACCATGCATCTTGCTATCAAAAAATCCAATCTTTTTCATGGCGGGGCAACCCATATGCGCCTCGACGACGGTTAAGCCATAACTTCGATAACCACTCCCAAAATACCATCTTGCTTCCACTTCAACCCCCTTTGATACCCCAATCCCACCACCGCCCACCATGTCCGAGCTCCCCCAATACAAGAAAGACTTCCTCAAATCCGCCATCGACGGCAACATCCTCAAATTCGGCTCCTTCCTCCTCAAATCAGGTCGCACCTCCCCTTACTTCTTCAACGCCGGCGACTTCTACCGCGCCGACCTCCTGAACTCCATCTCCACCGCCTACGCCCTCACAATCGACTCCCTCCCCATCCAGTACGACATCATCTTCGGCCCCGCCTACAAGGGCATCCCCCTCGCCACCGCCGCCACCATCAAGCTCGGCCAGATCAACCCCGACAAGTACGCCTCGGTCGAGTACTCGTTCGACCGCAAGGAGGCCAAGGACCACGGCGAGGGCGGCAACATCGTCGGCGCCCCCTTGAAGGGAAAGAGAGTCCTCATCGTGGACGATGTCATCACCGCTGGCACCGCCAAGAGGGAGGCCATCGCCAAGATTGAGAAGGAGGGCGGCATCGTAGCTGGCATCGTTGTTGCGTTGGACAGGATGGAGAAGCTTCCGGCCAAGGATGGGGATGATTCCAAGCCTGGGCCGTCTGCGCTGGGCGAGTTGAAGAAGGAGTACAACCTGCCGATTTATGCTATTTTGACATTGGATGATATTATTGAGGGGATCAAGGGCTTGGTTGGAGAGGAGGATATCAAGCGGACTGAGGAGTATAGGGAGAAGTACAAGGCTACTGACTAAAGTGCCTGTGAAAAAAGGAAATGAAAAAATATGGCAGAGATAGGCTTCTAGATCAAGATGAGGGGATGCCGGTCATCTCTAATGGGACTTCTGAGGACTACGTCGAAGCTGTCTGATCCTGGAATCGAGTCACTATGCCCGTGCAACAGCAAGGTAATCCTCACACGAAAGTCACCATGTTTTCGACATCAGCGGTTACATATCCCCTGTCTAATTCAAAAAGGAGGTCCAAGTTGGTTCGGATCTCCCTATTCTGCTGCTCGGAATCCATATCCAGTCGCTGCCTCGTATAGCAGTCTGTTGCCATCGGAAGATATCAGAAACACTACTCTGGTTTCCCAGAAAGATCAAACACCTGCAAAACAACTTCGTTAGTCCTCCACAACACCTCTCTCATGAATTCACAACAGCAAAGCACTCACCATATCATTCCACCCCCCACCCCCAAACTGCGCCTTGCTTGGCCCCAGGTTCTTGTACCCAAACCTCTCATAATATCCCACCAGATAATCCTGGCAAATCAATCCCACCCCCTCCCCCAGCCCCATACCCTTCACCTGCTGCAAATACGCCTTCATGATCATCTTGCCTATCCCGCATCCCTGAAGTCCAGGCAAAACAGCAAGTGAATGCAGCGCCACCAGCCCCCCCGTCTCCTGATGGCCCACCTCGGCAGACTTCCCTTGTCGTGTCCGCCAGTCTTTGGGGTAGTCCATATCAGCGTCACTGACGACTTTGCCAGTCCCACGAGTGGAGACGATATGCGCCAGTAGCACCGACACGGCGCCATCAGCCCGGTCGGTTTCCACCGGGCGGGCGGTGGAAAGGGTGGGGAGCTTGCAGGAGGAGGGAAGCTGGGAGGGGATGACGGTGCAGAAGACGCCGAGGGAGAGTTCGGGGCAGGTGGTGAGGCGGTATTCGAACTGGGAAGGGTGTTAGCAAAGCCTCATTGATATGTTGAGAAAAGAACCATGGGTTTTACCTTCTCAGGGGACGCCCTATGGTCAGGGTTGGGGAAGGCGGCGTTCTCCAATTGCACGCATGACGGTGCGTCAGAGACGGTCAGGGGTCTGATGTTTGGGAAAAAGGGGAACGGAAGCGCCTTCTGAAGCCTCGACTCGGGAGAGTCTTTCTCTGCTCGTCGCTTCTGACTGAGTGTCTTTTGCAGTTGGGCAAAGTCCCCGTCGGCATCGGAGGACTCGTCAATGGCTTGGTCTCCATCGACGGGGCTTGGGCTGGCTGTGGTTGGAGGGTTGACGTCCTCCCTCGCCGGCTGTTGTTCAATTTGGGAGACCATGTTTGAAAACGGGATGCTGTGCTGTGTCGTGTGCCGCTGTGCTAGCTACACAGTGAAGTCTGCGGTGAAATATGAATAAGAAAATCCAATATTACACCACGTGGTCAAGTCAAGGCCAGTGACACCCGAAATGACTTGTGATGATGATAAACACAATGGAGAGATGATCGGCTAGGTATTCAAAAGATATCGAACTTGATGCCTCGAGGTTGTAAGGTGGAAACGGTCAAGAACCGAGCGAAGCAACGTTGTATCACCGGTACTCTTTACCACCAGGCTGGGAAGAAGGTACGAAGGCCAAGCGTCAACGGAGCAGCATGGGTACCCAAACTCACTTCCACAAACCAGTCATGAGATCCCCAAATGTCTAAGCTGCAGATCCACCCTGCGAGGGGGAACTTGCAAAAGGGAACGACAGAAGACGCCTTTGCCCCTCGGTCAGTGGAATTTTGCTGTCATTCGCCTGTCAAACAGGACCCCTGGTGGACCCTGACGTTTGCAGGTGTCAATATCCAACGTTGGCGGCGCCGATCAGAACGACAACGGTGTTGACGGCGTGGTCAAGGGGATGCCGGCAGGCACTCCGTGACTTACCCCGCCCCCTCCATCTCCGTGAAATATCCACAACGCCAAACAGGGGTCGGGCTGACGTCACCGATAAGCTTCTGAGATGGTGAGATCCTGAGACGGCCTTTTAAGGCGATCTCTTCCCCAGCTGGCCCAAGAGGGAGATCGAGAAGATGTAGTCGTCTGTGCGAAAAACAATTCTCACTGAGAATCTGACAAAAAAGAGAAAGGGTGTAGCAGTCATGCAGAGCGCTGCATGCAAGAGATAAAAAAGAGTCAGTCGTCCCGTCTCTAGGTGTCCCAACATGTTGTGATCTATCAAGCGAGCCAATACCGGACGGAGCGCCTTGCATCCACCTCTGCTGCAATCGATGCATACATGGGGGGTCAACTGATCCCCTGATGCATATACTTGATGCCCTTGTCGCCCGGTTGAAGAGCCCCCAGCTTGCGAGGGTGAAAAGTTCATCCCAACGCTGAAGCCTGCAAGTTGTTGCTGATGGTCAGTCATGAACAGCATCCATGATGCCTAGACGAGGCAGCAGCGCGTGTCTTACGGACGGCCTTTCGCTCGGCATTGGATTCCAATGTACACCGCTACACTGACTGTTCAGTGCCTGAGAAAACCTGGCCATGTGTCCACCCGGGGAAGCTTGCCTGCTGCATAGAAGAACCTCGATGGGCTTCCAATAACTTCCATCTCTCAGCTCAGCAGCAGAGGTAGGATGCTAAGGCAGGTCGACAAAGCTACTGCGGCTTCAGGGGCATGAAGCACTGCTTGCGAAGCTTAAATGCATCTTAGTGTGTTAGAAGTGTACAGCCGCATAGGTATGGCCATCTGTGTCGGTTGGTGGTTGGTGGTTGTAAAAACTGGAAATGGCGTAAAAAAGGTTGAAGGGAACTCTGGAAGTCTCAGGTCGTCTTCCGTGTCTCTACCCCACGCTCCCCAGGCTAGCAAAAGGTCTGGACCCTCCAATCAGGTATTTTAGGGAGCCTATGCCCCCCTGGTTCTAGCTACTCGTCCAAGGCTTTAGCGGTGCCTTTCTCGGAAAGGAAACTGGAGCCCCTCCGTCACCGACTTAGCTTGAGACCTTACCTCGGGCTGCCCCTCGTGCCACAGCATACAACGGAGCTTGACTGTTGACAAACACAACACCCACCGCCTCGACTGACTTTTCCTCTCTTCGAAACTTGAAATTTTTTACTTTTAGATTCTCTTCCGGTGGCATTGATCCCAACGCTTGCAACCACTCGTACTTGTTCCGTCTAGTTCCACTACCATCGACGCTCTCTCCGCTTGCGCCAGACTCGACAACATGTAAGTCGATTCTTTTTACCTTTTATCACGTTAAACGTTCCTGGTGACAGGTTACTCACGAACACCAGGCGCATCACGCTCACAATCACAAACGCCGAAACCCAGGCGGACGACCAGGACCTCTTGTCTCTGGACGTCTACCCGGAGATGACCATCGAGACCCTCCGAAGCTCGATCCAAGTCGAAACCGGCCACCCCTCCACCTCCCAACACCTGTACCATAATGGCAAGCTCATCAACGACAATTCCAAGACACTGGCCGAATTGAACGTCGACGATGGCGACATGATGGCCCTCCACGTTCGCGACATTCGTGGTAGCACCGGAATCCCAACAGGACAGGGGGAAGCAGGACCGTCTCGTCAGCAAGCGCAGGCGCCTTCAGGAGCACAGGACCCCGAGACCGTCCGTCTTCAGATTCTGGGCAACCCAGCTCTTCGGCGAGAGGTGGAGAACTCATCACCACAGTGGGCTGGTGCGCTGGACGATCCGGTCAGGTTCGCCCAAATCTTCAACAGCCAGTATGATGTTGAGAGGCGGGAGCGGGCTGAGCGCCACCGGATGATTGCGAGACTGAATGAGGATCCGTTTGATGTGGAAGCTCAAAGGAAGATCGAAGAGATGATCCGGCAAGAGCGTGTCATGGAGAACCTTCAAAATGCCATTGAGCATAACCCCGAGGGTAGGTTCCTTTGACTATCTGTACCAGCGGTTCTTACAAGAGCACCTCTCTAACAAAATGTCAGTTTTTGGTTATGTGCATATGCTGTACCTCGACGTCGAGGTCAACGGGCACAAGGTCAAGGCTCTTGTTGACTCTGGCGCTCAGGCCACTATCATGAGCCCGAGTTGTGCTGAAGCCTGCGGTATCATGAGGCTGGTTGACAGGCGCTTTGCTGGTATCGCTAAGGGTGTCGGGACAGCCAACATTCTCGGCCGTGTCCACTCGGCCCAAATAAAGATTGGCCCTCTCTTTCTTCCCTGCAGCTTCACAGTCATGGAGGGTAAGACGGTGGAGCTCCTGCTCGGCTTGGACATGTTGAAGCGTTATCAGGCTTGCATCGACCTGGCCAAGAACGCGCTGGTCATCCAGGGGGAGGTTGTGCCTTTCTTGGGAGAGGCTGACATCCCCAGGGATGTTGAGGAGCAAGTACAAAAAGAGCCAACTGCTCCCGGTCCCGCCGGTACTACGATCGGCCAACGGACCGGAGCTGTCACTGCCCCAGGTGCTCCGGCTCCTGGTTCACCAGTCCCTCAGGCTGAGGCACCACCTGCTGCTCCCGCCGCAGCGCCCGTTCAACCCTCGCGGCCTCAGCCACAGCAGCAACAGCCACCACCACCACAACAACAACAGCAGCAGCAGCAAACTTCGCGATTCCCCCGGGAGCATATCGAGCAGCTCAAGGCTCTGGGGGCCTCGGAGCAGCAGGCTATTCAGGCCTTGGAAGCTACTGGTGGTAATGTTGAGTATGCTGCCAGCTTGATTTTCGAGGCTTAAGAGGGATTATGGGATCTGGTACCATGCCGAACTCCTGGATCGTTGGCGCAAAGCTTTCGTAGGTAGCATAGCGTGTTTTTTTGAACTTGCGCTCGGTTTGTGATAGATATTTCGGACCTACCTGGGGTTTTTTTTTTTTTTTTTGCTGGAATTATACACACAAAAACAAGACGGGAAAAGAGAGAAAAGTCCTCTTTAGAATTGGGAGTCAGTGAAGTAGCGTTTGGGCAGGAATTGATGAGCTTCTGTGTGCCAACCTATCTATCTACCGAACTTCACGTCGAGCCTCACAAGGTCAAACAACGCTCATTCATATCTAAACCCCGTTTGTTTTCTCTTACTGGATCCCATGACTTGACGTATCTTGCCGTACCTAATTGCCCTTGCTTTTATCTACCACTACCATCACCCCCATGCATACCCTACCTACAACAAAAAGAATCTACCTCAACTTGTAAACACAAGGCTTCAAAATCGCCATCTCCCTCCTCTTCCTCTCCTCCTCCTCCCTCTGCTCCCTCCCCGTCCCCACAAACTTCTTCCTATTCTCCACCACCTCCGCCCTCGTCTCCTTCTCCTTCTTCCTATCCTTGAACCCACCCAACGCCCCAAACCCCCTATCCTTCCCCAACCGACTCGCATTCGGCCCCAGCTTCTTCTCCACCTCCCTCTGCTCCTTGAACCGCGCCTCCCGTTCCAGCGCCTTGGGGTCAGAGCACTTCCCCACCAGCGCAGGCGCAGCCTTGACAAAGCTCATCCTAACAAACATCTTATTGCTCATATCAACCGCATGTTCCCCCATATCCCTATTCAGCAAAAACCCCCTCCCCTGCAGCGCAGCTACAAAAGCCGAAATATCCGTGCTGCTCGATTTCTGAACGGGGGGCACATCCCCATCGACATGCTCCGCCAACTCGGCCAAATCAGCTGCCTCCTCTTCAGCAAGCTGCTTAGCATTCGGCTTGTTGTTCTTCCTCCTGTTGCCCACGGAGTGTGACACAACCTTTGCCGGCTGCGTTGTTCCTGACCCGCCAGGGCTGGAAAACCTGGATTTAATCTCCGCCACCCAGAGCTCCCCCTTCCAACGAAGAATCCGATACGCCTCCTCGATGAAATCAGTCCAGTTCGTCCCCATCAGCGCGAGGCAAAAAACCACCACGTCCACCGTCCCGGGCTCAAGCGGGAGGTTGGCAATGTCGGCTTTGGTGACCAGGGGGTTACCCCCGGTTTGGAGGTCAAAGCTGTGGATCTGGAGCTTCGACTTTTTGAGGAGCGGTTGGAGGGTGGCGGCTAGCTTCGCGTCGCCGCAACCTAGGTCGGCGATGGTGCAGATTTTGGTGGAAAAGTCCCTCGGGAGGGGGATGGCGGTTGGGAGGGCGGGGTGGGATTTGGGTGGTTGGCGGAGGGGGGCGCGGGTTTTGATGTCGGAGATGTAAATGTCGACTGGGTTTTCGGGCCAGACTTCGACTTGGCGGCGGAAGCCTTCGTGGTATTCGGAAAACATTTCGGGGGAGGTGGAAAAGAGGGAAAAGGATTCTTTGGAGGGGCGGGTGTAGAGGGTTTCGTTTAGGTGGCGGAAGCGAGCCGAGATGAGCTTTTCGCGCATGGAGGCTTGGAGGGGGGTGAGTTTGGGGCCTGGGGCGGGGGTTGGGGCAGCTGGTTTTGGTGGTGGTGCTGTGGCTCTGGTTTGGGCATCGTTGTCGACCTTGGGGGGTTGTTGCTTCTTGTCTTTCTTGTTCTTCTTGCCGGTGGCGGTGTCTTGGGCGGCGGCGGGTGTGGGCTTCGGGGTCTTGTCTTCCTCGTCGTCGAAGCCATTGAAGTCATCCTCGGCGTTCTCCGATGGGGCTACAGACTTCTTCCTTTGCTTCTGCTTCTTGGCCTTCTTGGGGGTGTTGTCCTCGCTCTTCTCTTCAGCTTGGGCGGTATGCTTGGGGGCGGGCTGATGGTCTGTCTTCTGGCGCTTTGCCTCCTGCTTGCTCCGCGGCTTGGTCCCTGGCTTGGGAGCCTCCTTGTGCTCGATGACTTGGTCCCAGAGATCAGCAAAGTTGTCGGCCGTCACATTCTGCTGGTTTGGTCTTTTGCGCTTCCTTGCAGGTTTCAAGGCCGGGGCAGGAGCGGCGTTCACCGGAACGGCACCGTTCTCGGTCTCGATCTTGAGCTTCTCGGCCGAGATACTCAGGCCTTTGACGGGAAACATGATGGCAGTCGAAAGAACTGGCGGTTGGACTGGATTGGTGGCTGGCCGCAGTTGCGCTGGCAGTCTGTTGTCTGTCGCCTGTTGCTGTCGTCCAAAAGACGAAGAAAAATTTAGTGGGGCCAGGATCGGCAAGCCGTCAGCCCCCACATTGGGGTTAAAGCTTGAGTGGACCGTGCGGTGGAGATCAACGGCCCAAGCTCCCGTGAGGTGTCCTGTGAAGTTTCACAACCATCTTCTTCTTCGAACATGCCTCGGTTTCCCACCCCAAATTAACAATCATATGCTGTGTCCCTCCCGCCTCTGTGCTTCTTCAGCCTTGCGGCCGAAACTGACAGCTGATCCCTGGACTCTTTGTCCGGTTTGGGACATGCAACGACAACAACGGAGGTGTCATCCGGTTTGGCCGATGTTGAAGAGAATCCCCTCACAGAATCCCAGGCCCGTTTTTTTGAAGCTTGGGGCATCAGTTGATCGTGGAGCTTAGTTATTCCATGTCCTGATCCGATCCAGCATATGTCAGTTCTCGATCGTCATACATCTTGACCATTCTCGTCGAGAACCTCGCATTCTCGGCCGTCAATGCATTCTGCCGTGCATCTATCTCCCCGGCATCTCTCCGTGCTTACTTTTTCTACTGTACCTCGAGTTCGAAGCTACCTATGCAGGACCCCGGGCTCGCCGCACACACACACACACACACAACGCAACTTCACATGTCTTTTGTCTTGGTTATCCAAAGCAATCTCGCAGATCCAGTGTTTGACACAGATTGAAGCCAGAATAAGACCGGAAGTATTCAGACGGCCCGCGGGATACACAGCATTTTTCTATACAAAGAAAGCCAGTCTGGGTTTGCAGTGCGACTTGTTCATGGGGAGTATCGGCCCTTTACAGCTTCTGATGGCCACAAAATTTGGTGCCATGATACCAAAGAGCACTTGGCAACCGTTTCGGCTTCTCGCTCACCGTTACCACGCCAAGATTTACTAGTGATGGACGGCCGTTGAGCGGGCGCCCGGAGGTGTTCGATGTTGCAGTTTACTTTTTTGAATATCCATAGAGCGGCAGTCGGAGCTGAAAAGCCCTATCATGTGAAGAGATGCATGATAATTTAGGCATGGAAGCCGCAGAGAATATTCCATAGATTAACGAGGCGGGATGTTTGGTTGGGACAGAGAGGAACTTGTGCTCTTGATGGAGGGGAGCAAGAGTGGGGGATTATCGGGATATGCTTGGTCCATCCCATCACCCTATCCACCTCCACTCAGGAGTTCACACACTCTTCTTCATACACTCACCAGTTTCGTTTCTGCATCTTGTTATCACCTACACTAGTTTGCGTCACACGGCACCACCTCGACCCTGACCTTGAACGGTGGGACGGCTTGACGCCACAGAGCTGCAGACCAACTCGAAAGCGTCCATCTTCATGTCATAAAACTGCAGCGGTGTTCCTGGTCCGCTCGTGTCACGCTGTCACTTCCCCACCGAGTTTAGTTAGAGGTCCATAGTACGGTACTAGGTGAACTGACTGACAGGTAGCGCGGGCCACACAACGGCAGCAGCGGCAACGCCGGCATCAGACTCGTCCCGAGGGATATACCATTATACCTGACGTGTGGAAGGAGGGGAGGGTTACTTTTTTAGAACGCCCGTGGTGACGATGGACGGGACGGCTTGTTCCCGTCCCCCAGAGCTGGACTGACAGAGAAGTGTACCTGGCCCTTTTTGAAATTGAGACCTGGAGGGGGCGGGGATTGTAGATAGAACACCCCTGTATTCATTGTTTTTTATTCAA